GGGGGGGCCACTGGGAGGGCCACTGGGAGGGGCTGGGTGGCCATGGGGGCCTTGCATGGGGTGGCCCTGGGGGGTCCCTCTGGGGTGGGGGTCATGGGGCCCTTGTGGGGTGGCCCTTGGAGGGCTGGGGTGGGTGTGGGGTGGTGCCTGTGGGGTCCCCGTCTCTTGTGGCCATTGGGGCACCTGCTGAGCTGGAGGGGGTGGCCACAAGTTGCCCAGGTGTGGTGACCCCCCACATCGGGTCCCTCCATGGCCAACGCGACCCTTCCAAGGCCACCACTACCCATCCAAGGCCACCATGACCCAACCACAGCCACCACTACCCATCAAAGGCCACCATGACCCCTCCATGGCCACCATGACCCAACCATCACCATGATGACCCTTCTAAGGCCACCATATTCCAACCATGGCCACCATGACCCAACCACAGCCACCATGACCCAACCATGGCCACCATGAGCCAACCACAGCCACCATGACCCAACCATGGCCACCATGACCCAACCGTGGCCATCATGACCCAACCACAGCCACCATGATCATTCCATGGCCACCATGACCCAACCACGGCCACCACGACCCAACCACAACCACCATGACCCAACCATGGCCACCACGACCCAGCCACAACCACCATGACCCTTCCACGGCCACCATGACCCAACCACAACCACCATGACCCTTCCATGGCCACCATGACCCAACCATGGCCACCATGACCCAGCCACAACCACCATGACCCAACCACGGCCACCACGACCCAGCCACAACCACCATGACCCAACCATGGCCACCATGACCCAACCACGCCCCCTCCATGACGTTCCTCCACGTCCCCTCCTCCCACCACCCCATCCCTCAAGGCCACCGCACCCCGGGGGGGTCTCAGGGTGGGGGTTCTCTCCTGACCTTGCCCTTGTCCCCCTCCCGACTCCCTCCCCCCCCAGGTTCGGCTCCTGGTCCCGGGCGGCCACGTGTCCCAACGGGGATCACCTGGTGGCCTTCCGGCTGACGGTGGAGGCCCCGCGGGGCGTCTGGGACGACACGGCCGCCAACGACATGACCGGGCTCTGCTCCCACGGCTCCCACGTCTCGCCGACGTTCAACCCCAGGGGCTCCCTGGGGGACTGGAGCCCCACCTGCCCCCCGGGCTGGGGGGTCTGCGGGATCCGCACCCGCGTGGACCAGTCCGAGGACGACATCGACGACACCGGGCTCAACGACGTCCAGCTCCTCTGCTGCCCACCCCTGTAGCCCGGGAGGGGCACTCGACCCCCCCAGACAACCCTCCCAGAGCCCCCTTTGCCCCCCAGGACCCCCCCATTAAACTCGAGGAGGAAGGAGCCGCCGTCTCCTCATTCCTGGG